CCCCCCCCCCCCCCCCCCCCCCCCCCCCCCCCCCCACACACACACACACACACCGAATCAACCGTCATGTCTCTCGGACTTGCACTCCCCCGCAGGGCTGTCCTCCTGCTGGTGGCTCTGTTGGCGCTCTTCAGCGTGCTTGCCGCTGCGGCCCCGGACGCCGGTGCCACCACGGCCGACGTGGTGGAGAATGACATCGCCACGCCTGGCGATGCCGCCGCCGCCGAGGTCGCTGCCGCCGCTGTGGCCGTGGCCGACAACCTCGACGATGAGGATGGCCATGCTGAAGCCGCCGTCGTGACCGGCGACGCCGACAACGAGGAGGACGATGCTGTCGCCGGGGCTGACGATGATGCCATCGCCGCGGTTGACGCCGACAATGAGGACGCGGCGGCCGGTGTCGCGGAGGTTGTCAACCGCATGGTCAGCCTGGATGATGGGAACTTCGAGAGCCTTACTCAGGCGTACACTGGCTCGACCACGGGCGACTGGTTTGTCATCTTGTGCGTCATTCCCCTCGGGCTTTCGTCAACGATTTGATCCATTTCCATGCTCCGCCCTCTGCCTTCGTCTCTCTCCCTCCCTCCCTCCCTCCCTCCCTCCCTCTGGCGCCTCTGTCCTCTGACTCGCCACCTCCCCAGCTATGCCGATTGGTGCCCGTACTGCCTCAACGTCATGCCCACCCTTGAGGAGCTGTCCCACAAGTGCGCTTTGCCTTTTCCGCGACACAGTTCACGCCTGAACCGCCCCTCCCATCGCCACACACACACACACACATACATATATATATATATATACCCGTGCATGGAGGTGAACATCTTCCTGACTGCAAACCGAACCTCACACATGCGCAGCCACTTCGGTGAGGTGAACTTTGGTCGCCTTGATATCTCGGCTTCCCCCGGTATGTTCACGCGCCGGGCCGCCGGGCTGCTCCCGCGGTCCGCTTTGCCCCCCCTTATTCTTCGCCCTCCGCTTTATTCACCCGCACACACCCAACCACAGACACCAAGGCCCGCTTCAATGTCACTTCCGTCCCGGCTCTCATCCAGTGCGTGCTGCCCCCTGTTGACTTCCACCCTGCCCTCGGCGCCCCCTCGAACTGACATGTCTCCTCCCCCCCCCCCTCCTCCCTCCCCTGGCCCTGGTGGCCAAAGCCTCCACAAGGGCCAGTACTACCGCTTTATGGGCCAGCGCAATGTGGCATCCATCTCCCACTTCATTACCGGGGGCTTTGAGGAGTTTGAGGGAACCCCGGTTCCGCCTCCCCTGCCGCTGAGCGTTCGCTTGCACCGTGTGTACCAGACATTTGTCAGCGATCTGAAGGCCTCTCTGGATCAGCACCGTGCTGTGACCGTGTCCTTCTTGATGCTTGGCGTGCTGGCTGGCATGGCTGCCGGTGTGGCTGCCTCCCAGAGCCTGGCCCCGCCGCCGACCTGCCCATCGGTGGACGCCTGCCGGCTGCGCATTGCGGCGGCCACCGCGTCGGCCTCTCGCAACAAGCCGCGCGCCACCGCCACTCCCGCCGGTCCGAAGCAGGATTAAGGGGGTCGTGAGCGTCTGGCCGGTGGTGCCCCCCGTTTCCTCGTGGCCATGCCCGAACGGGCATGCAAATGCATTGGGTCCCCCTCTGACATCCAGGCAGGAATGGGTAACGGGGCGGCCGGCGAGGAGGGCCGGGGAGGATGACGAAGAGAGGGTCAGAGAGGGTCGGAGAGGGAGGGGAGGAGGGAGAGAGAGAGAGAGAGACCGACCGACCGAAAAGGCAAGTGGATTACAGCCACAGGGAGGCCCGAAGGCCGGGCAGAGGGGGGGGGGGGGGCGCGCGCGCGCGCACGCATGCGGCTGGCTCCGAGCGGGATCGCGTCGCTCGACCATTGTGTCGTCCTGTGGCGGAGACTCTCACGGTGGAGCCGACATGGTGAACGGAGCTCCCCACGCGCGAGTCACCCTGGGGTTCCCACCGACGTTCGTGCTTTCCCCTGGTGCTCTCAACGCTCGGGGGAGGGCTCCCCGAAAGCAGACATCCCCGGGTCCAGGCCCGGGGCCCCTGGTGGCTGGCCGAAAAAAAATGCCCGGCTCCTTCCCTGAACGGGGAACGAGCGCGGGCGGGAGCCCGGCCCCGGGGGGACAAGGCCGGGGGTGAAGCCAACCCTTGGCTGTAACAGTCCCAGGCCGATGCACTTGCAGCAGGCCAGGGGGAGGGGCGGGGCGGGGCGGGGCGGGGCGGAGAAGGCCTTCTGGGAAGTTGGCCGGAGTGCCGGAGGCTGGGAGGGGCGCCTGGCCGCCGCACCTCGGCCGGACGCTGGTGTGCGAGCATCCCTCCTGCGCGCCTCCCGCGCGCCCGTACACTCACCCGCCTTGACGCGGAAACGCCCCCTGAGAGAGGGGCGGGGGGTTCGGGGAGGCGCACCCCAAGGGCCGCCGCGATGGGTCCCCCGGTCGCTCGGGCGCAGGAAGCCAACGACACGCGCCCACACCGATGGGGAGAGCTTCTAGCGCGGGGGGCGCCCGGCGGGGACCCCTGTCCCCGAAGAGATAAGCGTAATTGAGGCAAAGGGGGGGGGGGGGGGGGGGGGGCGCGGGATAGCGGAAGGTCCCCGAAGCGCCGGGACGCGCGTTCCCCTCGGAGCGATACCGCCTGTGGGGTGGTGCTACATTCTCTGGCATCCCCATGAAACTGTGCGCGTGTGGGGGGGGGGGGCCTGTGTACGCGAACTGGCGTTTCGGCAGGTGTGGGCACCCCCCCCCCCCCTCCGTGCAGCCCTGGCCAACGCCTCCCATTATTCCGGCTCACTTGCGCTTACAAACAGGTTGCCGGGATGCAACGCGCGCGCGCGGGCAGTGGGGGGACACTTGTCCCCTCTCCCCCAGGGGTGGCCCTCGTCGGGCGCCCCCACCCCGCCAGGGAACCCCAGATAAAAGTGCCCAGCCAAACGGGGATCGCGCGGGACCCCGCTTGGACTTCGGGGGGGGCGTGCGCGGCTGGGCAATAATGGCCATATTATTTATTAGGTACACACAGAACATATCCCGGGGAAAGAGCGCAGGCATACTCGGGCGGGGAATTGGTGGCGAGATAAGCTCAGCGCGCGTCGCCCTCGCCCGC